TTGCTAAGTTAGTATATAAAGTAATGCATCTTACCTGGTATCTTCATATGTGTCATCATAGTTCTCATTCATTACTTTCCCACTGTCCTCACCTCTGTCTCCTGCCCACCCCCAGCAGCTGGTGAACTCCCCCTCCCATTTCCATTTCTGAGAGGGTATTACCCTCTGCCTCAACCTCGAAAATGCTTGGATTATTGGCACTCACCATCATACCTAGTTTAATAATTTATCCATTGTTAATAATTAGTTTAAATACTACCTTGTCAAACAGGTACTTTATGTATGTATGTTTGTTTGTCTGTCTGTTTCAGGATAGTCTTGCTAATACCCTGTATTGTTGTGATCAATTTTTCAGTATTGGGAACCAAACACAGGGCCTGGTACATGAGCTGAGATTTTACAGCACAGATAGCTCCTCAGCTGTAGTGAAGATTTTGATACCTAATTGGGAAGTATCCTAGTTTTCTATGTTGCTGTGATAATGACAAAGGCAACTTATTTAAAAAAGAGAGAGAGAGAGAGAGAAAACATTTAATTGGACTTACAGTTTGAGAAGCATGCTGACTGAGTAAAGGAGCCAAGAGCTGATATCTTGATCTGCAAGAAGGAGGCAGAGAGCACTGGGAATCCAGCCTCCTTTTGAGACTGAAAAGCCTGCCTCCAGGGCACCTTCTCTAACAAAGCGTGCCTCCTAATCCTTCTCAAGTAATTCTACCAATGGATGGGGGTGGTGGGATGGGGCAGTTCTCATTCAAACCACCACAGGAAGATGCCTTGCTTGTTACCAAATTATGTCTTTTGTTTAATTTTATTTCTAAGTGTAATTTAGGGGGGAATGACTTGTCCATTTTATGCTTTTTCTAGTAACCTTTGATAATGTATGTTTTCTACCTAGGGATGTAAAAATCACAGCTAAAACTTGACTAAATTTAGAAAAATTTAGATATGGTGGTATGAACCTGTAATCCTAGCACTCGGGGAGTTAAAGTAGGAAGGTCTTAAGGGCAGCCTGGATTACATTGCAAGACTTGTCTCAAAAAATTAATAGTGGCTGGGGAAGTAGGTTGGCACTGGTGGCAGGAGCTGATGCAGAGGCCATGGAGGAATACAGCTGACCGGCTTGCTCTTCATGATTTGGTCAGCCTGCTTTCTTACAGAACCCAGGACTACCTGCCTGGGGCGACCCCACCCATAATAAAATGCTATACAGACTGCATATATCCTGATCTTATTAAGGCATTTTCTTTTTTTTTTTTTTCTTTCCTTTCTTTAATTTAATTTTTTATTTCATGTGCATTAGTATGAGAGTGTCAGATCCCCTGGAACTGGAGTTACAGACAGTTGTGAGCTGTCATGTTGCCATGTGGGTTCTGGGATTTAAACCCAGGTCCTCTGGAAGAGCAGCCAGCATTCTTAATAGATGAGCCATATCTCCAGTCCCCCTTCTCCCCTCCCCTTTCTGAGACAAGGTTTTTCTATGTAGCCCTAACTGTCCTTGAACTCATTCTGTAGACCAGACTGGCCTCAAACTCACAGAGATCCACCTGCCTCTATCTCCCTTGTGCTGGTACTAAAGGCATGTCAAATATTCCAAATTTTAAAAGTCCCACAGTCTTTAAAAATTCAAACACCTAAAAATCTAGTCCTTTTAAAATAGCCAGTCTCTTTTAAAATATAAAGTCTTTTAAATTCAAAGTCTCAACTGTAGGCTCCTGACAAGTTAGAAAACAAACAAACAAACAAAAACACTTTCTTACTTCAAGAGGGGAGAACTAGGGCACAGTTACAATCTGAACAAAACAAAATCAAACTCTTAAAAGTGTAAATAATTCAATATCAAATTACCTAGGATTCAATCACAGTCTTCTGGGCTCCTCCGAAGGGCTAGGGTCTCTTCCCCAGCCACACCCTCTGCAGCACACACAGCTGTCTTCCAGGCTCCACTCCACTGCTGCTCCTGTTGTTGGTGGTCATCCCATGGACATCCCATGGTACTCCAGAAAGCTGGGGTCTTCTGCTGCTGCTGAGGCTGATTCTCCACCAATGGACTCTCCTGACCTCTCACAGCACCAAGCCTCGGCTGCTCTCCATGACTTCAGGCCTCAAACCTAGCACCACCTGGGTGACTCTTACACTGCCAAGTTCAGCTGCCAGTGCAAGGTACAACCTTGGCCACCTCTGGAACACAGCTTCTGTGTGCTGACCCTGAAGAAACCCTTCCCAGAAGATTTCACTTCAGTGATGCTGGTCTCTTTTTAATCATCATAAGTTCTCAGCGTCAGCTAACAAGCATCAGCTGTCTCCAATTTTTACTAAAACTTTTCTTCAATGGTTCTAGACTCTTGCTAATCACAGCTGATTCATTAGCTCCAGCAGACTGTCGACCACAGATTTTTCATGAAAATGGCCTGTGAAACTTTACAAGCCAGGCCTCCATTATTGCATTACTCTGAACATTCTTATCTTCAAAGCTGCAACACAACAGCCACAGATCTCTAAATAGTAAGTGGCTCTTCTAGACCAAAGTTCCAAAGTCCTTCTGCAATCCTCCTAAAACAACAGGGTCAGGACTCACAGCATTGCCTCACTGTCCTGGAATCAATATTTGTCTTAGTTAGGTTTCCATTGCTGTGACAAACACCATGACCAAAAGCAAGTTGGAGAGAAAAGGATTTATATGGCTTACACTTCAACATTATAGTTCATCAATGAAGGAAGTCAGTAATCTGGAGGCAGGAGCTGATAGAAAGGCCATGGAGGGAGGGGCAGTGTGCTGCTTACTAGCTTGTTCATCATAGCTTGCTCACCCTGCTTTCTTATATAACCTAGGACCAACAGCCCAGGGTTGGTACCACCCACAATAGCCTGGACCCTTCCACATCAATTACTAAATGCTCTATAGGCCTGCCTTTAGCCTGCTCTTACTGAGGCATTTTCTTAATTGAGGCTCCATCCTCTCTAGTAACTCCAGATTGTGTCATGTTGACATAAAACTAGCCAGCAGTGGTTCAGGTGATAAAATACTTGCTGCACAGCATGCGGACCTGAATTGGAATCCTCAGCACCCAAGGAAAAACCCAGGAGTCATGTCTGACTCCAGTGCCAAGAAGAGTGTCCAAAACTTGCTGATGAACTAGTCAGTAAACTCTAGGTTGAGTGAGAGACCCGTCTTAAAATAGAATTGAATAAAATAAAATGGAGAACCAATTGAGAAAGACAGTATTGACATCTGATCTTGGCATGCATATGTGTATACATGAAGAGGAATATACTAAATTATAACTGGCTTTTTCTTTTGGACCACCAACCAGCTCCCAAATCATGACACAGATACTTTGTTTGGTTTTGGTTTTTGTGTTTCAAGACAGTGTTGCTTTGGAGCCTGTACTGGAAACCAGGCTGGACTTGAACTCACAAAAGATCCATCTGCCTCTGGAGTGCTGGGATTAAAGGCCTATGCCACTAATGTCCAGCTCTTATTAGTTGTGAATGCTCTGCCTAGCTTACACTTGTTTCTGTCTAGCTCTTTTAATTTTAAATTAACCTGTTTCTCTTTATCTACCTTTTGCCTGGGGGCTTTTTACCTTTCTTCCTTCTGTATATCTTACTTTCACTGCTCATGTCTGATTGGTGGCTGCCTGGCTTCGTGTACCAGGTGTGCCACTCTTTTTCTCCCCCATTCTCTTCTCCTCTCATTCTTTTTGTTCTCTCTTCCTGCCAGCCTTACCTATCCTCTCCTGCCTAGATACTGTCCATTTAGCTATTTATTAGACCAATCAGGTGCCTTAGGCAGGCAAGGTGAAACAAATGCAACACATCTTTACATAATTAAACACACATCCTTACAGCATTAAACAAATGCAGTGTAAACAAATGTAATAGTTAAAGGAGTATTCCTCATCATAAACAAATTTAACACATCTTTACACAGATAAAATAATATTCCACAGTATCACCTGCACCACAGATGCAAAATAATAATTAAAATTAAGGAAGTTATCAATCATTTGACTCAAGAGAAGTCCTGTAGGTTTATAATACTTGGAGTTATTGCCTAGGTATTTCTTTAATGCACTGTTAACTCATGTACCTCTTTCTAGGCTTAAGCCTCTCTAACCTACCCTTTTAACCCCTGTCATAGTTATTCCCTGTAGTTTCATATCATACTATTAATATACATCTCCTTTCTCCTTCCACATTCTTAGATTTTCATTCTCCCTCCCCTACTCAGTCCAACTTTGTATCTGAGGGAATGCCATTGTTCCTGTAGATCCGTTTCATATACTGACTACCTGCTCTAGGAACTTGGTCTTCATGCTGATTGCAGGACAATTGTTCCTACCTTCCTCAGTGCTCCTCTGTGCTTCATACTGCTTATTCGGAGTTTTAGACTTCAGGCTTCATTGGGATAAAACACAAGCCATAAATGTTGAAAAAGAATAAACTATCCCCACTTCCAGACAACTCACTAGAATATAAAAGAAGTGTAGGTTAGATAGGAAACTAGCTAGACATGCACATCTATATGTGGTGCTTTTTGTTTTGGGGATAGGGTCTCACTGTGTAGCTCCGGGTGGCCTGGAACTCACTCTGTGACTAGGCTGGCCTTGAACTCATAGAGACCCCACCTGCCTCTCCTCCCAAGTGCTGAGATTAAAGGAATGTGCCACCATGACCCCCTCTATGTGTGCTATTTTATCACTAATGGCACTTTTATGTCAATGTTTGTTACCAACCAGATCCAATTTTAGATTAAACTTTATTTAAATTTCATGTATTATGTGCTAAACCTTAAGTAGTGTGTTGGACTTAAGTTGAAACATTTGTCTAGACATAGAAAGGCCTTCCAGATTAGAAGTGGGAGAGCACACTAGGCTACTCTCAGTAGAGTTTCAGCATTGTAAGGGAAAACAGCAAGAACTGGATTTGTATTCTACCTGACCTGTAGAGTTAGGCTATAAATAAATGGATATTCAAAAGTTGTTTTTTTCTCTCCTTAGTACTGGATGAATGAATACACCTCATCTATTGGAATTGGAGTTTTTCATTCTGGAATTGAAGTGTATGGCAGAGGTATGTGTGAACATAGTTTAAATATGCTTTCTGAGGATTCTGCCAGTTAAAGAAAGTACACATAATGTTAGGTCTTTTTCTTTGTCCTTTTCTTTTAAGTGACTTACATGTTATTGCAGAAAGTAGAATAAAACACATTAGTTTATACTGCGTTTGAAAAAATGTCTGTGGTCAAATATATGAGAGTACAATCATTTTATTGTCCTTTTTTCTAATTACTATGTCTTCTAAAACATTTTCTTAGCCAGGTTTGGTGACAAACACCTTTTATCCTGTCTCACAGAGACAGACAGATCTCTGAGTTTGAGGTCAACCTGGTCTACAGAGTGAGTTCCAGGACAACCAGAGCTACAAATGAGACCCTGTCTCAAAAACCCAAGCCCTTCTTTCTAAAGTTGTTAAACCATGATTGTTTTTCTCTAATATGTATAAGAGTTTCTAAGAAACTTTTATACTTTGAAAAACTACATAAAAATAATCATTTTGGTTAGTGGTAGAAAGTGTCAAATTTGAAATACCAATTTCCTTAGGGAGTTTCAGTAGAACATTGGGTTTTGCAGACCTGTGAGTATCAATAAAGAATATGCTAAGCAATCTTGCCTTTAGTAACATCTAGCATTTTGCTTAGTTGGAGTGATACATAAACATGAATAATAAGCTTGCCTTTTAGCAGAAGTTCCTGCATTTGCATAAGCTGGGCAGTCTTTGTAACCTCCTCGAATATATTATGCGATTTACCCAGGGTAAACTACCTGCCTAACTATTCACTAATTTAAAGGAAAAACTCCACTTACTTAAATACTTCAATATAGTGTTTCTGTTGTCTTTGTGTTTGGGTGGAGAGGTGCTGATAATTAAATCCAAGGCCCCAGACTTGCTAAGCAGGTACAGTACCTCTGGGCTTTGTCCCTAGCACCGTATCCCCTTTTTTTTCTTAGCTGCTTCTAGCTACAATTTAGCATGTTAAATCTTGGCTATAAAGATTTGTCATTTAAGCTTTACTTTTACTTGCTAACCCCAGGAAACAATAAGGAGCTTCAGCTGGAATTTTCAATAATTAAGGTAACACAGTGGATGAAATTATAGGCCATGGGTGTCCTCTCTGGCCTTTTGCCTAAGTTGTGTTACTCCTTTTTGGTTAAATTTGAATAGTGTGTTATGGTTTTCATAGTACTGTGAACTTTGGAACCATTGATCATGCTGTAATGTAAGAGAATGTAGCATTTTTCTTTTAGAAAAAGAAATTAAAGCTCTAACATGTCATCATTCACACTGTTAATAATAACTAACAGAACTAGAATTTGAGCCCAAATATTCTTATATGCTAGTCCAGTGCTCTATTACCTGCACAATTTTTACTGCCCTTCATAAAATAATATTAAAAACAAAAGCATGGGTCAAAACATGTTCTTGGAAACTCAGAGAAATTATAATTGTTTCTTGTACAAAAAATAAAAACTAAAAGGACCTGTGTCTCCCATTACTATACCTAAGAAGGTCAGAATCCATGTGAGTCTGAAGAGATGGCTCAGCAGTGGCTGCTCTTCCAGAAGTCTTGAGTTCAGTTCCCAGCAACTTCATAGTGGCTCACAATCATCTATAATAGGATCTGATGCTCTCTTGTCGTGTGCAGGTATACATGCAGAGCACTCATACATAACATAAATAAATAATTTTTTTTTTTTAATCCAAGTATAAAACCAGGAGGTGGTGGCAGCACTGCCCTTTAGTTCCAGCACTCAGGAGGCAGAGGCAGGTGGATCTCTGAGTTCAAGGCCAGCCTGGTCTACAGAGCTAGTTCCAGGACAATGAATTTTTCCCAAATCTAATCTTGATATATACAGTATTTTAATAAAAAATATATAGGACAATTTACTGAATCTTTTTTTTTGGGGGGGGGTGTTGATACAGGGTTTCTCTGTAGCTTTGGAAGCTGTCCTGGAACTTAAGCTGTAAGCCAGGCTGGCCTCAAACTCACAGAGATCCAGCTGCCTCTGCCTCCTGAGTGCTGGGATTAAAGGCGTGTGCTACCACCACCTGGCCAATTTACTGAATCTCAAAGAAGAGTGGGCATGGTGGTATATATATATATATATATGGTTGTATCCCAGTGCTTAGGAAGCTAAAATAAGAGTATTATGAGTTTGAGGCCAGAATGAGACCCTACCTCAAGACCAGATAGACAAAGAAAAATTTAGGAAGTGGACACCTATAATCTCAGCAGTTAGGGAGCAGAGACTGGAGAATTGTGAGTTCAAAGCTAGCCTAGGCTGCATAGTTAGTTAATCAGATCAGTTTAGGGTAACTGACCAAGCCTTTCTTTGTTAAAAAATGTTTATATTTCAAAATTAAGTGTTAAACACCCTCATCTACATCGTTTTTTCAAAAATTTCTACAGAATCTGTGACGGAAAAGATAACCTTGGAGCTCAGTGGTTAAGAGTACTTCCTGCTGTTTCAGCTCTGTTGGGTGTGGATATAGGGAGACTAGAGCTAATAACTGTGTCTCTAACTCCAGGGAATCCATTGTCTTCTTCTGACCTCTACAGGCATGGTCGCAAATATACCTAGATACAAACACATCCAAATAAAATTTAATTGAGAAAAACTAAGCCTCAGATGCCATGTTCTTTTCTGTGCTTTGTCTCAAAACTTAAGACTGTATATATAACAAATATGTTCGTTTACTTCATCATTTATTTAATCATTTTGATATAGAGCCCTGCTGATCTGGAACTCACAGTATCGACCAAGCTGCCCTCAAGCTTATAAGTGATCTTCCTGCCTCTACCTCTCTAGCACTGAGATTGTAGGCAAGCACCATCCTTCCTTGTTATTTAATAAATCTTAAGTGATAGAACTTACTTAAGCATTTATTTGGGATTGCTTATGTCTACTAATACTTTATAACTTAATATCTAAATGAGATGCCAGAAATGAAGCCAGAAGTCCTGGTTCTTTCCTAACTTGAAGCCATCTGCATTTTTGTTGTAGATGAGAGCATATAGCTGGAAATACATTTACTAGGAGAATGTAAAAATAGTGCTTTCCTAGCTACAAAATTGCCCTGAAGATTATGAGGGTGGCTATGTGTTTAAATGTTATTTTACAGTGTTTTAGGTTTTTGTTTCAGACAGGGTCTCAATTCATATATAGTTCAGACCTGCCTGGAACTCACTAGGAATAGCCCAGTGTAACCTAAAACTCATGATCCACCTGCCCTCTGAGTGCTAAGATTACAGACATATGCCACCATGGTACAGTGGTGTTTTCACTCCTAATCTAGTGTAAATCAGGAGTCTTCAGGCAGGTGTGGATGCATGCAGCTTGATGGCAAAGCACACCAAAGCAAAACAGCTCATCTCGGAGACTGTGAAGACTCACTCTCATTAGACACACAAGCTTCAAAAGCGGCCAAGTCCTGAACTGCTGGTCTCATAGTATGCTGGTGCAACAGAGACTGCTCACTTTTGAATACTGGTCAATCTCCAGCTGGAGTAGGTGCAGAGTTTCGGAGTGTCTGTGACTGTTACCACTTCAGAGCTTTTAAAAACAGGTATTCCGTACTGGTAATCCCCAAACAGGACCTTGCAAAGGGTACTTTGTAAGCTGAGAAATATTCAGATGGCATTATGTTTGTGGTATTTTAAAGCTGGTTCAGCATTCTGATTACATTTCATGCAACACATACTAAAAATTTTGACTTTTGTCTTTTCAGAATTTGCTTATGGAGGCCATCCTTATCCTTTTTCTGGAATATTTGAAATTTCCCCAGGAAATGCTTCTGAATTAGGAGAAACATTTAAGTTTAAGTAAGTAGGAAGGGTAATTTCTATCACACTGTTGTAGGTGTCAGAGCTTGTTTTGCAGGTATAAAGAATTCATCTTGTAGATTAAAAAGTTAAAATAGTTTTAAATTTTGGCTTAGTGACTAACACTTTATTTTTAATTTAAATTGAATTAAGTTTTTAGGTAAGGATGGAAAATCAAATAATGTGTGAAATAACCTGTCTTTGCTTTTTGTTCTTAAGTTGCTTTCTGTCTGCTTCTCAAATATAGTTGTTTTTGCTTATCTGACATTCTGCCTCAGGAAACTCACTAGTGATCTCCTGCCTAGTCTCCCTATTTCAGAGGGAAAGTGGACAGGGTGGAATTTTTTTACCATTACCTAATATAAAAATCTCTTCATTTTCTCAAAGAAAGAAACACTTGTAAATTCAAAATAACTGATTAACCTGGAAACTGTTGCTGATAAATAATATCAGTACAGCAGTAGCTCTAAACCAAGCTGGTGTCTCTTGACTCTACCCTTTGTTAGTCAGTTTTTTTATTCCTTACTTGTTACATCTACCATGATATTTAGAGTCTTTATTTCAAGAAGCTTTATGAAACTTCTGGGTCTGTAATAGTTATTGTGCCCAGAAGAACAGGGCTACAACACTTCTGAGTGCATAGCTCTCATACTCAGCACTAATGACCCTAAATCTCCATTTATGCCTGATAAGATGATTTCTAATAACTTTCAGCTATCTTTTATAACTAGCTTATAGCTAAAATTCTGCCTTTTGTTGAGTAATAACTGATACATTTTCCAGGAAATATATTGAAGTGTTTTTATTTGATATTGTGGATAATGTATTTTAAATTTTAAGTTTCATGGCTCTTTGCTATGTGTATTTATCAGGGGTACTTTTAGTTGGAATTTGATTCTCTATTAATGAATATGTCTCATAAAGCAAAATAGAAACTAAAATCATTGAAATTTCTAAGTATCTCATTTACCTTTAGTTTGAATGTTAGCCCTGATTTATTTATAGCAATATACCTGGAAATAAGCAAGTATTTAGTAATGCTTATTATAAATGACCTGATTGAAACTGCTTTATTTTGTTTTTTGTTCTTTAAGAGAAGCTGTTGTTTTAGGGAGTACGGACTTTTTAGAAGATGATATAGAAAAAATTGTAGAAGAACTGGGAAAAGAGTATAAAGGCAATGCCTATCATTTGATGCACAAAAACTGCAATCACTTTTCTTCAGCTTTGTCAGAGGTAAATTCAGTTTCGTTCTACAAGTTCTGCAGATAACACTTTCCTGGTGTACTTTCTCTGTCACTGTATTCAACCTTGGTGTTTTCTCCCTGATTCTTCCTTCATATGCATAAAATTTATTTCTTTATCCAATGTGGCAGTTTTAGAGTCAGCAAAGTTTTAAGTGGTGATTCTGTCCGTTCTTTTGTGGGTAGACTGACTACACATAATTGCCTCTTACTCACTTGATTGCATCCTTGTGTTCTTTATAACTGTGACAAATGCATAAGAATAAACATTTTCCATTCATAATGGATTGCTGTTGGTTGGGGCCTAGGCACAGTATGTCTTAGTGGGAACCACACAGAATAACAGAGCAGCTTAACGTGTCACTGACAGAGAAGTGGGAAGGAGCTGGTGCCCAGTATCCCTTCAAGTGCATTCCCACTACCCCAGCCACACTTCCTTCCCCTAGACCCTGCCCCTTCAAAGTTCTATACTTTGCTAGCAACCACACTTAATACATGAACCTTGGGGGAATGTTCAAGATTCAAACTATAACAAACTGAAACACTTAACTTTTAAAAATAAAGGTTAAGAAACTTGACAGCTGAGCAACAGTGGTGCACACCTTTAGGCCCAGCACTCCAGGCCAGCCTGGTCTACAGAGTGAGTGCCCGAGCAACCAGGACTGTTACACAGAGAAAAACCAAAAACTATTAGTGCTGGGCAGCGGTGGTATATACCTTTAATTCCAGCACTAGGGAGGCAGAGGCAGGTGGATCTCTGCTAGTTCAAGGATACCCAGGGCTACACGGAGAAGCCCTGGGGGGTGGGGGGAGGCACCTCTTAGCTGCTGAGGCTTTTTGGACAGGGTTTTTGTAGGTATCTCTGGAACTCACTCTGTAAACCTGCCTCCACCTAGAACTCAGCCTCTATGAGGATAGCCAGGCTGTATCAAGAAACCTTGGTAGGGGGAGGTTGTAACTAATCTCTGTGAGCCCTTCTCACATAAAAGCAAGTTACCTGCTTCCAGCATACATTGGCTAAAAGTAAACATCCTGTTTTAAGAAGGGAGAAATGGGGCATAGCAAAGCAAGACAGAAGCTAGGGAGGAAAATAATCCCATAGCTCCATATGGGCATTGGGCTTGGATAGCGCCACTCCCCAGGCTCTGCTCCTCGCTTATCCCACACACTGTCTCTTGTACCACTTCCCCTTGTGTGTGCAGCTATCCATGATTCTAACTGGGGTCCCCATTTCAAACTAGGGTTTAACTTCGCAGCATCACACAGGCTGGCCTGTCAGGAGCTCCAGTCCTGCCATACAGTCCTGCCCTCAGCAGCTTTTTGAAAGCATAGTATAAGACATGATTCACACAGTTGTCTCTCACTATAGAGCTAGATGACAGCAGAAAGTCCTGAAATTTCTTCCATCAAACTAGTTAGTCCATTATTCTTGTATTTGACTTCACTCATGTTCTCATGACATGGGTAAAATGCAGCCAAATCCTTTGCCAAGATATCATGTGAATGGCTCCTAGCCTGTGTATTGATAAGTCTGTGTTCCCCTCTAAAACTTCGTAAGCTGGGACTACACTGCCAACATTTCTCTGTGTTCACTTACAGTGAACACTTACAGTGTTCAAGGCCTTTTCTAGCCCAAACTTCCAAAGTCTTCAGTATTCCTCCCATAAACCAGTTCCACAGGTTTATCTGAGCAGCAGACCCACTCCTGATCCTGATTTTTTTTTTTTTTTTTATATATACATTACTTGTCTTATTGGTGTGACAAAATTCCTCACAAAGGCAACCTTAAGGACCAGCAAGATGGCTCAGTAGGTAAAGGGGTTTGCCACAAAGTCTGGCAACTGACTCCGAAAAGTTACTCTAACCACACATATCATGGTATATGTATAGTAACATATGTATGTACAACAAACACACTGGAAGAGCTTCCAGAAGACCTGGGCTCAATTTCCAGCATGTACGTGACAGCGCACAATGTCTGTAACTCCAATTCTAGGGGATCTAACACCCTCACAGATACACATATAGGCAAAATACCAATGTGCATGAAATAAGAATAAATAAATTTCAAAGACAGAGGGAGAGAGTTGGGGAAGAAAAGTTAAAAAAAAAAAAATAAAACAAGGTAGAGTTAAAGGGAAATTCATCATGGCATCAGGAGCCGTGCCTTCTCTGCATCTATAGTCAGGAAGCAGAATGATAAATCTGGTGCTGAGTTTCCTTTATCCTTTTTGTGTACTATCTGGGTCCCCTGCCCATGAATGGTGCTGTCCTCATTTAGAGTATGTCTCCTCACTTTGGTGATCTAACCTAAGTAATCCCACACAGACCTGCCTAGAGGCTTATCTTTTTGGTGGTTGGTCCAGTTGACAGCATTACCCTTCACACCATATAAACCAAATACTATTTGGTAAGTAGCCATAGTAAAAAAATATTATGTCCCCATGTCCCCGTTAACACAAACGTAGAGAAGATAAGTTTCACGGTTACCTCACTATTAGTGGTCTATTTCATTTAAAAAGAAAAAAAAAAATCTGGTTACAATGCTGAATAACCTACTAATAGGTTTTGACTCAAGGTTTTCAAAACATGGTCCCAATTGTTGGAAAGATGACTTAGCAGTTACTAACAGTAAGTGCTCTTCCAGGGGACCCAAGTTCATTTCCCAGCACCCACATGGTAATTTACAATCCAGTTTTAGGGATGTGAAGCCCTCTTCTGGACACATGGCATACAGATGCGCTTATACAGAAGTTTTTTTTTTTTTTTTTTTTAAATCAAACATAAACCCAAGAATTGTTAAACTTTTTATGAAAGAGACAGGTAATGGATGCTTTAGGCTTGTGAACTATTCATTACCTTAGCTCTGCCTCTTCTCATTGTAACCAAGAGCCATAAGCCATAATTAAATAGACATGATTATATTCCAGCAAAACTCATATCTATGGATGCAGGTGGCTGGATATTACAAACTCTGTTTTATGTTGATCTGTCTCCCCAACTCCAAAAACTCGGGTGAAGTCAGCTTCCCTGAAACACAAAGGTATGTGGAGGAGAACAGATTGCTGAATAGAACCAGAATTTGAGAAAGAGAATGTGAAATGGGCAGCAGTGTCTGTCATGTTAACCTAAGTTTTCTTAACTACTTCTTATGTGGTTAATCGCTATGCAGATACTCCTGGGTCTATCTCAAATATAAAACAATGTTTGCTAGTACATAGACAAATGGGAACGGTATCTAGTAAGTTCATTGCTCAGCTTTCTCCCAAGTCTTGTCCACGTATATATTCTTTAAACATATTTAAGTATCCATCTGCCTCACTCTGCTCTTAGGCACTATGATAGATGCTGGGTAGTCAAAAATGGTCACAACACACTACCTGTCCATAAAGAAGCCACCTCATTTTCCTTTTAGCTAAGATAGAAAAGAGATTAAGGAATGCTGCTGAAGCCTTAGGGGAACGTGTTGCACAGCTACCAGCTTTCTAAATGTTAACTATCTCTTTAGTGTAAGAAAGTTGGAAGCCTTTTTCCAAAGTCATTAACCTAATATTTGCAGATATTTAAGATACTAGCTTCAGATCCCATGATCTGAAACTAGCATAGATTCAGTTGAGCCTAGTTTTTTGTTTTTTTTTTTTTTTTAATGAGAACCAAGATGATACAGGGTAAAGTCAGCATTATTCTGAGCTGCTTCACACTACCTACGGACTCTTAAGAATGAGAAGTAGGCAGAGAAACGCTGCAGGTCATCAGTCAAGAAGGATCCCAGCTGACACCTACTTCTACCTACTAAAGTCTCTAGGCTGAAGCCTAGCCAGGCCTCCATGCCTTGTTCTGACCCTAGTCCCTGAAAAGTTTCTATACCCCAATAAGCCTCTCTACCAATGCAGCAGTCCAAGTCAGACCAAATCAAACTGAATTAGAAAAAGCCCGTGTTTAATGAATACAACGCTCCCGGATGGCCTTTCAGCCCCCCCCCCCCAAGAGAGGAGTTGGGAAAGAGAAACTGGAAAACCACTTGTCTATTTTCTGGGGGTGGGGCAATTTAAATACCCTGGGAGTGGTCTTGGGCATTTCTGGGGGAGGGCTTTCTGAGATGCAGCAGGGTTTGGAGGGAGATGATGGGGGTTTGGGTGGCACCTCCACCATAACAGTTCCTCTGCCAGTGTGTCATGGAGCTAGTCTTCATTTGGGGCACTTCTTTCTGAACCATCTGAGCATCCTTGAAACAAATGGGTCATAGTTGAATGACCCATTCTATGCCTTTGCCCAGGGAAAAGTGGGATGTAGAAACTGCAAGAGAGTACAAAAGAACTTGGGAAGATTTGACAAGAATATCTAAGAGGCTTCTCTTACTCTAATAACACCTTGAACTAACAAGCCTTTTTCTTCTGTATACTGTTCAAAGTAATTTTATGTTTTTCAAAGTAGTTCAAGGATCCACGACAGACAGAAGCCAAGCAGAATTAGCTTGATTTCACAGTTATTTGAAAAAAAAAAAAAAAAAAATGCCAGCTGAAAGAAAGTTAAAGGGGTTGCAGGAGGGTCCGGGCTCCTGAGTTAAGTCACTGCTTATTTGTCAGCATCCTAGAGTGGCAGTACCATAAGCTGACTGTACTGTATTTTCTCTATAGCCATCCACTCCTTAGCAAAACAGTCTGCATTAATCTCTCCTCCCTAACACAGAGATCTCTCCTCCTTAGATTCTTTGTGGGAAAGAGATTCCTCGCTGGATCAACCGACTGGCTTACTTCAGCTCCTGTATACCCTTTCTACAGAGTTGCCTCCCAAAAGAGTGGCTCACTCCTGCTGCACTGCAGTCTAGTGTCAGCCAAGAGCTCCAGGATGAACTGGAAGAAGCAGAGGATGCAGCCGCGTCCGCAGCCATGGCAAGTGCTGCAACTGGTGCCAGAACTGGGCGTCACACTAAATTATGAGCATCTCCAAAGTCACACCTTCAGAACTGTCTCTGGCAGTTGAATAGTACTAGAGAAAAGAAAATAGAGTAAATGTCCTTTGGATATTTTGTATGCAAAGATGGCTCTCCCCCAAATCCCAGTTTTTCAGCTCAGGATTATATTTATAATCAAAAACAAAAACAAAAAAAAAAAAGAAAAAAGAAAAATCACTTGGCGCAGGAGGGAAAACTTTATATGAAGCTGCCCTCTTTTTTTTTTTTTTTTTAATCCACTTGTAAATTTGGATTCACTTCCTGTGTTTTATATGAGCTCTGTTTAATTACGTTTACAGTATTTTGTATCACTGTTTACAAATCTTGCATGGACTTCTGCCACCATGAAAGAAGAAAACCTTCATCTTCAAAAATTAGGCAGGTCATCTTTGTACACACCCTGAAAATCGCCAGAGCTACATCATAAAAAGTGGGCACATGGAGAAGTACTTACACAGCTACAGTCCCCATCATCTGCTTAAGAGCCGTGTGTTAGATTTCCCATTTTTGGCGCCCAGATACAGGGATCCAAACTGGCTTGACATGAAGGAGCACACACAGCCCGAGGGCTCAGGGCCCTGAGTCAATTCCTCTTTTACCCCCTTCCATTCTGAGTAGCACATTTCCCTAGGTGCCCGTGGAGCCCCTGGTTTCATCCCAAATAATGCCCACCTCAGCAGGGTGGTACTGTTGTATCTGCCAGGCTTGATGTTCAATTCTATAATGAAGATGTTTTCATGGAAGATACTCATAACTGACGGTGTTTTTGCACATGTGTTGAGGCAGGGGCTTCACTTTTATTTTAATACATACTAAACTCCCTGCACAGGATGTTTTTGGTGGGGTGGGAGTATCCTAACCTAGCTTCCTGAGCAGCAGTATGGCCTGATAGTAAACTGTTTTTTTAACTGGCCAGGCTACCTTTTATACTAGACATTGAAAAACTAGAGTCTAAAGAAACACCCTCCCCCAAAGGTAATTCTTTAATGTTTAGTACTTTCTGTATACCATATCAGAAATGGCGTGTTGGACTTTATTAGTTCATGATGAGAGTAGTTTCACCTCATAATAGAAATTCTATTTTCATTGATCTCTCGTTGGAAAATCATATTTTTGTGTGTCTGATTCATCTTTCTATGTTCTCTCAAATGTGTGTCTCTTACATAACAATCTTAGGAATGAAGTTGTCGTTACAGCTAAGTTGTCTTTAGTAAGGAAGTTGTCTGCTAGAGTCTACCCCCAGTTGACCCTTGGATGTAAGAACCAATCATTACATGTCACAATCAATGTTCTGCCTTAAGAGTGAGTGTCCTGTGTAAAGTAGTGGGTGCAGCATGGAAACATCCAAGGTACTGACTGCAGCTTTAGTATGAAAGTCACAGTTATTTTGTGAGGATACATATCTTTAAGTAAATTACATCTTTAATTTCCATGAGCTGATTTTGATTGATACTTAACGTAAGCACACCCTCTTTAGGGAAAGTAAACCTTGGGTTATAAACACTGGCCTGAGGAAAATGAAGCCACTTTGTGCTATTTGACTGTTCTGTTTCCAGAGAGGAAAGCAGTTGTAAGTTATTCCGCTCCATGGGGGCCAGAGCATTTGTTTCAGGAACCGTGAAACAAGACACGGTCTTTACAAAGAGTTGACTTGGTTCAGGTCTGAAAATGAGACTTGTTAGGACAAAACACTAATGCTCTCCAAGACATTGTTCACTTAAAGAAGAGCCCTAGCCCTCAATCAAGCCCAGGTTAGTAGGAAATGCTTGGTGAAGTTGACTTGGGGTTTTTGTTTTGTTTTGTTTTGTTTTTTTTATTATTATTAATAACATGGATCATGGTGTTTTCTAAGCCATCGAGATATAAATGTTTTGAATCTGCTATTGACCCAAGGGGAAAATGGCCCCTCAGACATGTCTGGGTAAATAGTTAGAAAGAGCTCCACTGCTCACCCAGATCTCAGCAGCTCAACACACAAGTGACTTGCTGTTTTCACACCTGTCTGTAGCATTTGAAGTGAAAGATCCTCTGGGACAATAACAGTGCTTGCACCAGTTCCCAGAAAGTTAGCAGGTCATGAGATTCTGGACATGAGATTCCTTGCAATCTAGAGTACCTGAGGTTGAAGGAGAAAGAAAATCTCATTTAGTGAGGACCTTCTCTACTGCAAATTAAGAATGGGTTTAATTAATTTTGTTTTTCTTGCCCTTGGAAGAAAGGAATCATATTCTCAACGAGTTCTCAACCAGAACTTGTAAGAAGAAAATCCCAAGTCAAAACTCTGTTCATGAATACATGTGGTCCATGGAGTCAGATGCAGCGTCTGTAGTTGTATCCAGGTGAAACCGTTTCTCCTGATAGGTTGAACAGTAACAGTGGTAATGGATCAGACAGCTGGTTTCTGGTACTCATTTATGCTTGGGTTTTTTAACCCTCACTGGGGCATCAGATTTAGAAGTGTAACATGGAGCTGTAGAGGTGGTGATTGTCCTAGAGCACCTCCAGGCCTGAACTCCAGCCAACTATTGCTCTGACTCACAGCAATAGCATACCTACCCATCACCAGCATCTTACAGAGCAGGGAATCCCAGGGTTAGTCCATTGATATAGCATGTGTGTGAATGGAGACTAGGCACCACAGACAGCTGCAGAACTCTGTTTCCATGGCTTCTATCACAAGACGGGTAGAAACACGTTCACTGCTTCAGGGCTCTAACCCATGCATCGTATTATGGCTTCATCATATTTTTCCTGTAGCTTTGATATATGCTGTGTTTGTTTTAAATGACTAATTTTGAAAGTTTTGTCAGCAGTTGGCCATCCTGCCATTATATGCCATTCTTGTCAGTATGGTTTGAGAGTGTAGCTCCATGGTTAGACTTTCAAGGTCTGCTCAATCTATACACACACACCTCCACTGTCAACAGGTGGGACAGCTGTCAATGAATCTTCATGGACCTGAAGAGAATTTCTTGTGAAGTTGAATGCAAGTGTACTGTCATTCACAGTGTTTATAAAACACCAGGAACCTTCACTTTTGCTACCTTGATATAGCATTGGGTTATCATGTTACAACATTGAAATACATCGATTTATTAAAAACTACTTTTATAAGAAACGTTTTATAGTTCTTTCTGACCTCTAAGAGACAATGCTGTTCTGTATTTGCTGTGGGAAGGGGTTTTTTGTAAAATCCAGGAATCCCATCTGCTCTGCAGGAACTCAGCCAGTCCCTTCTGTATCATGTCTTTCTTGTATTCACAGCTTCCCTTACTCAAATGAAAATTACTCTTGTGCACAGGCGGCAAGTAACAGCCCGGATGATTTCTGGAGAGTGGCAGCAGAGTGGGTGGACTGGAAGGCTTTCCCGATTCCCTTTCAGCAATTAAGTAGGAGCTTGCATGTTCATGCTCCTTACCTTCCATTAACCTCTTTTTGGTACCTCTAACCCAAACCTTTGCCTTCACCTCCATTAGCCTGTTTGTACCTAGCTCAATGTTTTCCTCCCCTAATTTAAACTCTTCCCCTTGAATTAAGTATTATCAAGTAAATTAATGGTAGTTTTTATGCTCTACCAAGACCATATTTGTCCACTCTGCCAAATAAGAGTGATATATTGTAACTAGGCTGTTCTCACCTCAGGAACACAAATAGGACTCTTACTATAATTTCCTAACAGATTCAGATCTGCTAAAAACAAAGGAAAAAAATAAAAATAAATGCCAATAATACTAGGGAACACCTGTCATTTTTTAATTATCTGTACATTTAACCCATGTGTATTGGCCTTGTTCTAACCTTTTGGAAGTCTGTGCTAAGGAAGGTTAATGACTTTCTATACTTCCTTACTTCCTAACAGGTAAATTAGTAGCAAACAGCTGCTTTTCCTCACAGTGGCAGCACTTTAAAACTGCTAGTGACCCTGCTGCTCAGGGGAACTCTGTCCCACAGACAATGGCTCTGTTGATGCTGCCAAGGGCAGCTTTAACTAAAATCTATCATGCTAATAAAACTTGAGACTCAAAAGCTAAGGTGAAAACCTATAAACTCAGAGTTAGAGTAGTAACTGGCTAAATTTCTCTCTTTGCTGGTGCCCTGGAAGCCCCTCTCTTTCCACATTGTCCCAACTAAAAAACCCATGTTCTGCTACTTCTTTCAACTAGTTGCTAACCCAGCCTCTCTGAGCCCAGGTTTATTTTATTTAATTAATGCAAATGCAACACATTTTTACATATTTACACAAATATCCCACAACAGAGAACTGCTGAGCATTCTCAAATCTGTCTTTAATTCCTCTCAACACACCTTGATTCAAACCGCACATCTGCTTCCAATGCCCTCACCAGATCTCAGGCTACCCATCTAACCTCTGTAAGTCGGAGGACTTGGGTACCCAGAGTGCTAAACCAGACTCCTCAAAGTCTTGAATGCAGATTGCTTGACTGTCCTGAATACATGTGTGATGTGAATAACAAATTAAAGGCAGTATGGAGCTTGAATGGCTCAGCAGTTAGGAGCACTGGCTGCCCTTCTAGAGGACCTGGGTTCCTGTTAACTCCAGTCCCAGGAAATCTGAAGTCCTCTTCTGCCTCTTTGACCTCACATGGTACATGCAGGCAAAACACCTGGGGCAGGAGGGAGGAAGTCAGTGTAGGTGGCCTGTCCTTATCCCTCAAATAAGAGCTGGAACTTTACAATGGAAAGCTGGAATATGGCCCGAGGAAACAAGCTGCCAGACTTGGCCATAAGCAAGTGTAGAAAACACATTCCTCTTCTACCAGCTTCAGTGAACAGATACCACAGGAGTACCCTAGCATTGAGATATATGTGTCTATTTTAGACTGAAGACAATAAAAAAGCAAAATCCTGTTGTTCTACCTCTGATGTGTTTGGGGCTGTCCTAGGTCACTTAATTTAAATACATTCCATTTTTCACATCCGGTGCATTACAATGACAGTGGAAAGGCCATTAGCCTGCAGTCACTCAGCAGCCTGGACAGGTGACCCATTGGAAGACTTAGTCATTGGTTCCCCTACAAAATTCAGTAGGAGAGACAGGATTTCCCAAGTTTTTGATGGGTTTGAGTTAACCCATACAGATTACTCCAAAAGTAACCACAAAATAAAACATGAACCTGAGCACTTGAGAGAATTGTCTAGAAGCCCCTAGTCCACTGGCTAAGGCTGCGCTGTTTTATCCAAGGGTCACCTCCATCAATTAGCCATCTGTGTTTGTCATCACTAAAGACAAACTGCTCAGACCTTCATCCCCAGGGACCTGGCAGATAGACTCATCTGCCAGCTGTTCATCCTTACTGTCCCCTCTGACACTTCCAGGGTGGCAGGCAAAAATGCCTTAGTGGTTACTTGAGGTATTTCAAGAAGTAACTTAGCCACACCCTATCCCTTGAGAAGCCCTCTAAACCTTTGTGTTCTCCATTTCTGCCTCAGTCACTACAGAGCCAGCCAACTGAACCTGAGCTGTCCAGTTTTGCCAGATGCCACCTGCTGCTTCACACTCTTCTGATCTTCCTCTCCAACCTTTTCCTGTTGTTATTCCCAGTGACTACATCCACACAGATGGTCCATGCCATTTGCCTCTGTCATCTTGGCACTTTGCCCCTTGGTTGCCAGCCCCCTCCTCAATCATCATGCTCTTCATTATTCTACAGCCACAAATTTCACCATCCATCCCCAGTTAATAACCTCTATCATTGTCCCAGTCCCTCTCACTTCAACCCTGAACTGAATGTTCTAAACCACTTAGGCAATCTTTTGTTTTTAAGACAGGGTTTCTCTGGCTGTTGTAGATCAGGCTGGTCTTGAATGCAGAGATCCACCTGCCTCTGGCTCCCAAGTGCTGGGATTAAAGGCATGAGCCATACCTGGTCACTTCTGGAGTCTTCATTCCAAGCATTTCTTCTGACCATTAACTTAAGGCTTACCCTGGTCGACTGCACTACAAGAAGTCATAGGCCTTTGCAAGATCCCAAAGCCATTAAATCTAGCACTTACAACATCTCCCTAAACCCATCTTCTATTTCTCCTTTCACCCAAACCAAATCCCATGGCCAGCAACTAAGTAATTTCCTCCTCAGGTCCCTTCTGCTACTTCAGTGCCCCTTTATTAAAATTGGCTGACTGCCTAGCCCAATTGGAATCTAGACTCTGCCTGAGTCTATCTACCATAGTGTGAGCTGCCTTAGCATTTTGTTTCTATCCACAAAGCAGGGGCATTCACTCACTCCTGCACCACGGCCTACTCTTGGCCCCTTGGAAGTCAGCTTCCCCGCAGGAGGCCCCTCATGCCTTCTCTCTCCTCGTGGCTCCAACATGTTCCCCACATATATATCTCAGTTGAGACCTTCACTTGATGCCTCAGTAAAAGGATGTCAGGTCAGTTGGCCTCTCATCTCTCAATCTACAGACTCACTAAATTTGTCTTCAGAGACACTGTGCTACATGAGAGGTGCTTCTTTCATCAAATGACCCCCTCCCCACCTCTCCAGGCTTTGTCTCTAACAATTATTCCCCACACTCCTCAACCTCATATCCCCTCTCTCCTATCAGCAGGTAGCACAGGGGATCTCCTCTGCAATGTCCCCTTGAGTCCTGCTATGACAAAGGAAAGCCTCTCCATCTCCACAACCAAAATTTGCCACTATTTTGCCATCCCAGTCATTATTTTGAAAATCACCTTGATTTTGAATGATGTATACAGTAGAATTTGGGCTGGGCCTGTAGCTCCCAGTGTAGCAGTGGTAGAGCACTTGCCTGGTGTTTGCAAAACCGGGAGTTCCAGCCCAGCAGTTGGAAAACTGGGGTGGGTATGTGTATATAATTGTATGTACAGCTTAACGGATAATAAAATTAACACTCTACCTATCTTAAATAACAGACTTCGAGAACATGTCTAGGGCCCTCCCCCATTACTACCTCTTCCTTCCACCAGAAGGGGAACCACCATCTTGAAGTTTCTGTACATTGTCCCTTTTTGGGGTTTTTTTTTTCCTTTATGCATATGCCTATTTTTGAGCTTTGTATAAATGAAATCATATATATCCCATGGTTTTAAAATTCTCTATTTTTATAATTCATGCATATTAATATGTATAGTTCTAACTCATTTCCATGACTGTATTGTATTCTACTGTATTATATAAACACACCATGATTCTGTTTACACATTCTCCCTTTGATGAAGGCTTGAATTGTTCCAGCTTTTTCACTCTGATGAGCAATACTTTGTGAACACTGTAAGGCATGTCTGCGGTTGTGAGGCTCTCTAGGAACTGCTAGGAATGTATGTGTTCAAACACTGATGTAGAAAAACAATATACTCTTATTATACTTTTATTAAATAAAATCCTATTCAGCCCTCTCTCCATCTGTTAATCAAACAGAACTCCATGATCCAGTTACTCTCTTATCATATAATGAAATTTCTCAGAGCTTCACCTTAAAAATATTTTTCATAACTAAAGGAATCAGAGAGATGAAAAAAATCACACTAACCTCCCACACAGCCAATGGGAAAAATAGCACTCAACACTGAAAAAGTAAAAAAATTAAAAAAAAAGAAAAATGTAGTCAAGATGGGTACTGTGCACATAGCTGTAATCACAGCATTTGGGGGACCAAAGCAGGATTGTGAGTTTGAGAGCAACTGAATGACACTGCAGGAGATGTCTCAAAAAAACTTAAAAATCAATAAACTTAAGTGTGTTCCCTGTCTGTGGAATGGTACTTGTGAATATTGTGATTCAAGACTGAGCAGGAGAGCCTGCTTAGTCTTTCAAAGCTTTAAGGAATAAATTAAAAATATGTGTCTATTGGGCCTGTAAGCAGGTTAAGGTGCTCTCTGCCAAGCATGACAACCTTGTTTTGATTCCCCTGGACCCATACGATGGAAGAGGAGAACTGACTCCCTCAAGTTGTCCACATACACACTGTGGTACATACGACCCTCGCACATACATAAATACATACATACACATATACATACAAATGAATATTTTCAAAAATCGCTTGACTGCAGATTTTTGTAACATGTAATCTTGGCTATAGTATTGGATGTGACATCAAGTAGTCCTAAAACTTGTGCAAATCTGGAAAGTT